ACCCTGTATATCTACTTGACTTTCGAATTTAATGATCAAGTTACGAAGAGATGGTCAATATTTTTTAACAAATAACGGAAGTAAAAATAAATTTGATTCGTATATACAGCAAAGTTTTTTGAATTAATATTCTTCTTTAATTAACCTCTCGTGGTCGTGCATTTTCCGATACGATCGACACTCGTATATTCGAACCGTACGAAATATTTGTCGGTGACGATAACCGACTATGGAAGGAGTTTTCTTCCTTCCTGATCTCTGGTCAAAATGACCAGATTGTATGGCCGGGAGCAACGAAAGGTAGGTCCAATCTGGCCCACCGAAGGACTAAATACGACGAGGTATGTGGTCAATATTGGCCACTCTGATGGAGTACCTAAGTAAGGTGCTGTACGAAGTATACTTTGATTTCTTTTGATTTGTCACAATTCGGGTGGGTTATGCTTCTATATACATACATTCTCGTATATGTGCGAGAGTGAAACCCCTATTAAATCCCGCGGTCGCGTTAAACCCCAAATCAAACCCCTAGAAAATCGCGTCGCGGTTAATTAAAGATTTGTAGGTTCATTATGTTGAAACACGGGTAGGTAGAAAATGGATAAGTAGGTCTATAGATCGGAAATACGGGTAGGTAGGGATTCGGATAGTCAGGGATACGGGGACATAATTCGATAGTTTAAAAAATTAGGTAACATAAATTAACGAAGTAACAATAACTTTAATATAATAAGTACGTAAAAAGAATTTCGAGTTTACGTATACCGAATATTTCATATACATATAACGTCGAGAGAAATATTGTAGGTATTGTACAGATATTTTATTTTTAAATTTATAATGTCATTATTTCTTTTATAATATTGTATGTGTATTGTAAAGTAAGTTATAAGAAGAATGAAATAAATAATAAAAATGTAAGAAATCAAACTGTAAGGAAAAGAGGACCGTCGATTAAACGCGGCGGGGGTGGTGGAGGGCCTCTACATAGATCAATTTGTTTCTATCGAATAAAATTTTAGTTTAATGTGATTCACATAATCTTTTAATCGATAGTTTCGTTTGCAATTGATCGATAAATTTGCCTTTACAGTTTGATTTTTCGTTTGCACATTAATAAAAAATGTTGTACAATTATAAGCACAGCTACTAGTAACACGTTGTGTGTATACTGTGTAACATTTTCTATTAGTGTTTTACATTGTAACACATGTAACATGTTATTCATATGTAACTTTATGTCATAATGAAAAATTGTTCCTTTTTTTTATTGTATATCATGTTTTCAGTTACACTATCTATCTTTATCTCTCTTTCTATATTTTTGTATATGTTTCAAAATAAGTTGTGATGAACTTAATTAAGTTATAAAAATGTAAAAACGCTATTTTATCGCAAACAAAAGAGGACCGCCGATAAGAATTCGGCGGGGGTGGTGGAGGGCCTCTACAAGTTGGTCTGTTTTAATCGGATAAAATTTAATTTAAATCTAAAAGAGAGGCATTATTTTATTCATAACCAGAAAAATGGAAAGTTATAATGATATATATAGACAACCAAGTTTATCGAGAACAATCTATGTACTACAAATTTTGTCGGCAAAAAGAGTACAAGTTTGATACAAAATTACGTAAATCTGCGTTATCCACTTGGCAAAATATGGATATTGGCTACGTAGTACATGTCCACGTTTTCTAATGTTCACAAAGGTCGTATCGCATTCGAAGATCATCTAAAACCCGACCGTGGCAGCTTTTAAGCTCATGTCACACTACGTATTGCGGATCGCGGATCGGATTGAGATTGCGGATCGCGGATCGCAATTCAACTAGTCAGGTCCAAAGCCGCCTCGTCTGATTGGCTGAAACGTGATCCGCGATCCGCAATCTCAATCCAATCCGCGTCCGCAATACGTAATGTGACACGGGCTTGAGGCTTCTCTCTGTATTGGCGCAATATTGGGAAATAATGTAAATCTGGTATTTCCAATATTGCTCCAATATTGAAAGATGAACGCCTTCTCTTCTTTAGTCAATATGTATATTTAGTTATATTGGTAAATACTGGCTAATGCACTTTCCCCAGTGAGAGAAATGATTTGTCGATCGATGTCGAAAAGATATCGAATCGATATATCGACACCTTCAAATTGATGTCGATTCGACATCGTTTCGACATCGATCGACGAATTATTTCTCGCTAGGCCAATATAAATCTAATATTATATAATTATTATTATGCAATATTTACATTTATTCCATAGCCAATATTAGCTTACGGTGGACAATATCAGCCAATGTATTTTTAATATAATCAACATTGGACCAATATTTAGCCGATGTTTAGCAAATGTTCTATACTGCTAGGGAAATGATTCGTCGAAACTAGAGTCCTAAATAATCATTTATTTTGCACTCTAGTCAAAATGACGATGTTTAATCGACATCGACACTGTCAAATTCACATCGATTCGACGAGTCATTTCTCGCTAGGAATAATATAACGATAATTTATTACTGCGCTTGCTGCTCTTTCCAATTTTAGAACACGGCCGCCGTGCACAAATAATGAAGTATTTGATATACATATCCCTAGAAAGAAAGATATTTTATTGTAGCACAAAAAGGTCTGATATTCCCATACAGCACTTGTTATGCAATCCCCAAAGACTGGATGAAAAACTTAATAATTTCGTTGTAAAAAAGGCAATTAAAATTAACCAAGAAATTTCAGGGAAACTATAACGTACTGTGTAATCATGTGAATATACGCGATACTTACGTGAACGGCAGGAAATTGTACTCTGCCAGGGATATTCGCAATCAGTCGTTGGCTTTGTTTTTGTCGTCTACTGTTCCAGACATGCTGTCACGCGTGTAACATCGACATTCAATTTTAGAGATACCGATGCAGAGGAGAATTAAATAATTATTACTTCATACACGCTCGACTTGTACTTATTTATAACAAAAATCTAAAACATTATTACAAACAATTGATGGAAAGTCTCGTTTATATATATTGTATGTATGTAAGAGAGAGAGAGAGAGAGAGATATGTATGTGTAATATGTAATACATCTCGAGTAATGACTCGTCGATCGATATCGAAACGATGTCGAATCGAAATCGACACCGTCAAGTCAACGTCGATTCGATATTGTTTCGACATTGATAAACGAATTAATTCTCAGTGAGTAGCGATGAATTGATATATTAATATGATACAATGGATATATGTTCTGTAAAATGCCAACTGTAAAGCTATACCTCCACAAGCTCTGTCCTACCACGTAGTACTGTAGAGTACAAGTATTACTGTAGAGTAAAAGAAAAAGAGAAACAAAAGAAAACTGGTTATAGTAACTAGGAAATTTTATGCCGAGGCGTCCTAATATTTTTGAAAAGAACTATTTTTCCGAAACATGTTTTCATTACCAGACGCAATGACGTCATAATATACCATTAACCAAAATAATACTTAAAGCGTATTTGGATGTAATTTCCCAAAATGTTCGAGCAACTTACAAATTTTAGAAACTAAAGAACTTAATAATTTAATAGAAGAAATAGCAGTAAAGGTTGACTAAAAAATTTACAAGGAATACTGTAAAGCGTATTTGGATGTAATTTCCCAAAATGTTCGAGCAACTTACAAATTTTAGAAACTAAAGAACTTAATAATTTAATAGAAGAAATAGCAGTAAAGGTTGACTAAAAAGTTTACAAGGAATACTGTATAATCGTGTGAATACGCGATACTACACCCCTATT